CATATCATATGCTCTTGCATCCATAATTATGATCTAGGCATACATGGTAACTGTAGCCCTTCAGTATCCCCTGCAGTTACTACCATAGATGAACCGCCTGTGTTAGAATATGTCGACCTAGCAGCCAGGCGACCAAGGAAGACTGGCAGGTGGACAGCGAGGACTGGGACGACTGCGCCGGCCGTGAAAGTCCTAGATACTATCATAGCAGTTCTACCGAGAACTTACGAGAAAAAAACACAGGTGAGCTAAGAACTACTGTTAACTACGAACTGCTCAACTACTGTTAATTAGTGTTAAATACTGTTAATTGTTTTTATAAGCTAAGAAGCTCGGCCCGGACTAGGACGACTTCATCCAGCTGGAGCCTTGGGCGGTGCCGTGCGACAATTCCTGGATGAAGGACTTTTTCCTTCAAGCCCGTAGTCAGTAGGTCAAAGTATTGAGGAAGCGGGCGGTCCACTTACGGTGCATAAGAACTATATGACCCGTAGTCTGAACTCCTTAACGGGGGTCATATAGGAGATTGTATAGGGGGGTGTTACAGGGGTTCTTAAGGGGGATACTATGACTGTAGACTCTAGCTCATTTGTGTGGATACATGCACACACACACATTGAACCCGGTTGCTTCCAAGGGCCCGTGCACGCAAGGACAATTGGAACAAGTGGCAAGGCTATTCCTTCTACACCTGGGAGATGGCGATTGAGACATGGCATCTCTTGCAAGTAGTATTGGGGTTATATTGGGATACTGGAAAAGAAAATGGAAACTACTATACTATATAGGGTTGCCTGTGTCGACGGAAATCGTTTTTGGATTCTCCCAATGTCTGCTGTTTCTAGATCTAGGAGGACCTCAATTTCAGTGCATAAAGCAGAACTTTTGTTTATCATTGAGGTCCAGGAGGGTGCCGAAAGTCAAACAGCATGCAGCTGACCTTATCAACAGCATAATCATCGTCCCTGCTAGACACGGACAGCTCCTCAAGTTTCATCCCAGACTAGGGCTGGAGAATTGAGGAGAAGTGCGTGACTGTATCCTATTCTCTCTCCACCCAGCCGGTGCTCGCCTTTGTGGGTGGCCTGGAGTTTGACCTCATGCCGGCACCTCTGGCATCCCTGGATACACAGGCCTCATATGCTACATCTTTTAGGGCTTAGGGGCTTACCTGTAATCTCAATGAAGTAAGTAGTAGTTACAGCCCAATCAGTAGGTGCAACCCACAAGAGTGGTTACAGGCATAGGATCTCTTGTCCACCCCCCCCCCCTCCCGCACAATGCTCTTGTAGCTTCCCCTGCATTCCTAGGTTCCCCACAGTAAGGGCCGCCCCCTTGTCAAGAATTCAGGGGTTGAGGGTTTAGGGACATACCGTGGGTCATTCACGTTACAGCAACCTCAAAGGGGTTTTTGTTAAGCTATTGCATATTGTGGTAACTGTGCCTGTAAGCGGCAATCACCTAACCTATGCCCTAGATGCACTTTGTGAGTTCGGAGTGCTCATGCCAAGTGGAACATTGCACTTTTTCTTGAGCTATGCAAACGGCAGAACTCCACATCCTAAACCTTTTATAACTCCTGGGCCTTAAATCAATGGGTCCCTACAAGAATCCTTTACCGACTCGAATGTCTACTTCCTTTTCCCTTGTCTCGTCCCCCTGTTTCTCCATAATTCTAAGTGAAAGCCGTAACACCAAGATCCTGAACGTTGAATCCCGAACCCTGAACCTTAATAAATGCTGAAAAGCCCAGGATGAATAGAACTTATGTTTTTGCATTTTTTGCGAGCAAAATCATGCCTGGAGCTCATGACAGCGCAGATGTTGTTTTTTCAAGCAGGTCCACAAGGCAAAGATTGTCTCCAAAAGGCTAACAAAATGGCTCCAGAAAGCCAAAATGGCTTCCGTTTCCAAAAGGTGGATTGAATATGGTTGCCAAAAGGCCCACATAAAGATGGTTCCAACAAGCGGCATTGGCTCTAACAGGCACCGAATTGTTCAAACAAGGCCAAAATGATTCCAAAAGGTTCGAAGTGGTTCCAAAAGGCACCCGAAAGCCCAAAAATTTGCAAGGCATGCTTGAAAAAGGCAAAAAAGTGGTTTGAGCAAAGCTGCAGGGAAAAAACTCGCACAAGACCGCCCAAAAAGCCCGTCAAAACTCCAGACATGAACCCTATGCAGTTTCTACAACCCAAAAGAAGCTGACTCTCAAAGCCTAAAGCAGGTCTGCTGGCCGGACAAGCAGCCTGGAGGCGTCGACTTGAGTGTTCTGAGGACTGGGAATTTAGGGTTTAGGGTTTAGGGTTCCATACGTTAGGACATATGAGCTGTAGTCTAAACTCCTTAAAGGGGCTTATAGTGGTAGCTTCTCAAAATAGGGGACCCCAAAAAAATCTACACACGCACATGGCGATTACAAAGCATTTCCGGGGCCAGTTGGGATCATATATGACTTCATATTCTGATCCATATATGGGTGGTTGTCAAAATCATGGTCTGTTTTTGGATCCCTATTATAGTACGGCACCTAATATTTAGGGTACCCAAAAAGAGACCATAATTTTGACAACCACCCATATGTATATGCCCCAGTATAACCTTGTAGCATCTTGAAACTCCCGTATGTACACCTCTATTTGGGGGCTTCTAGGTGCCTTTTTAGGGTCCCTAAAATAAGGACTTTAGTATTTTGGGGTCTATATTGGGGTCCCACCCTTTTGGGAAACTATTATTTCTAGGTGTTATACATGCATTTTTCAGAGGACTGAAATCAGATCTGCCGGCTTCCTCCTCTTCAGCCGGACCCTTCGCCTCACCAAGCGCTTCGGGAATGGCACTGATTTCGTTGACGGGAATACCTTCAGCGCACACGAAACCTGGCGCAACCCCATCGGCATCGCAAGAGGTAGGCACTCCGTTGAGGACGACCGAACCCTGGAGCCCATGTCCCGGACGTCCTCGCTGCTGCAGGGCAATCAAAGCAAAGCTTCGAGAAGGAGCAAGATAGAAGCACAAAGCGCCCTGGTGTGGCAGGAGGACACAGAGGACCTCTACCTCGCGTCTATAGACTATGGGCCGCACATGGTTGTGAATCGTAGCTCCGAGCTTCGTGGAAAAGCAGCCGCCCAACGTATGGGGCTCACACAGACCGGACAGAAGATTGGGCAAGCTTCTGGAAGCCAGGGGCAGACAGAGCCATTCCAACTTTTCTCCTTCAAGAACCCAGGCATGGTGAACTTCAACATCCTGGGGCTCCTGGACGACAACAATCTGGAGCTGGGGATGAAGATTGATTTCGGGCCCTTTGAGTCTCCAGAGAAGCGCATCAGGCTGATGAATGTTGTCGACCAGTTCAACATCGTCTTGAGTGCAATGCCCTTCGTGTCGCTTGAAAGCAAGCAGAAGGCCCTTGCTTCTCTGAACGGCTTCATGCAGAATGACTTGGGTGCTGCCATGCCAATACCCGAGCTCCGCCCAGGATGCATGATCGCGTTGCACTGCACCCGACATAACAGATTCTTGCGCATGCTGGCAAACGGTGCGTTCGATGGAGGAAGTCCCAGGAATTTTGCTGATGGCATAGTATCTGGGTTGCTGTTAAAGAACTCAATTTAAGTTACTATATTGTGGAAACCATGTTAATTACGATTTTCACCCACTATGGTAACGTAATTTAAATTCCTTTACAGCAACCCAGGAATCTCATTGGACCTTCGAGCGCTTCACGGTGGTGGATGCGGGGAATGGGCAGATTGCACTGCACAGTCCTCGTTGGAATAGGTTTGTCAAGATGGGCGGGGACCAGGTAGTGGAGGGCAGCCCACACAAGGCCTCCATCGCCCTTCCGGATGGCTGGACTTCAGAACGCTTCACCGTGGTGAACGCTGGGAATGGAGAGATAGCCTTGCATAACTCCCTACGGAATCGTTTCATACGCATGGCAGGTGATGGCTATGTGGACGCCAGCAGCTCTACAAGCACCCTCCCCGACGCCTGGACCCATGAACGTTTTCGCGTCCTGCATGTGAAGCCATACCTGACGGTGGGGAGCGTCATAGCCTTGCATAGCACGCAGTGGAACCGCTTCCTCCGCATGAATGACGCGCTTGACATGGACAGGAGCAGCGAGAAGGGGGCCGACCAGATTCCTGATGGTTGGACTTGGGAAAGATTTACTGTGGCGGATGGTGGCAATGGTCAAATAGGATTATACAGTCAAAAATGGAACCGCTATGTAAAGATGCAAGACCATGACATGATGACTGGAAGTGGTTTGGGAAACTACGAACGGTTTGCAGTGGTGGATGCTGGCAACGGCGAGATCGCACTGCACAACACTGCGTGGAATCGCTTCATACGCGTGTCGGACACTGGGTCAGATGCAAGTTCGGGCAAGAGCCTGGGTTGCTGTTAAGGAACTTAATTTAAGTTACTATATTGGGGAAACCTTATCATTTACTATGTATACCCATTATGGTAACTTTATTTAAGATCCTTAACAGCAACCCAGGAGCCCTCAGGACTTGCCAGAGAATTGGTCCTGGGAGCGCTTCCGTGTTGTTGAATTATCAACTCCCAGCAGCTGGTCCTTTGACTCCAGATGATTATGATGTGCGTGATGGGTTTGCCCAAAGATGGGGCAAGACTGATGGTTGGACCGGGAAGAATATCATGCTTCTACGATTGGGGTCTGGGCCTCTGCTTATAAACCCCCAGAACTTCTGAGCCTCCAACCCCAGTTCCCTGCAGCGTACGCTAGATAGCAGGAGAGGGGTTTGGAGATATGGGGCTCTTCTATGCAGAGATATAATGCCAGAATTAGTTGTCATAATAAAGAAAATAAAAATTCTGAATTAGAATGGGGCTGCGTATGTTGTTATGCTGTATGTTTTTCCCTTATGCTCGGCCATTTGTTTTTAGGTCGTTCGTTCATTTTATGCTTCCGAGGCTGGCATGGTTCTTGAGTTTATGCTGTGGTTTCTGTATTTATGCTGGGGGTGTGTATTTTTATGCTGCTGTGTTGTTGAATCCAGTCCGCCATGGCTTCTCCTTATGCTGAGGGTGTTTATCTTTATGCTTGGGCTGTTTGTTCGGAACTACGGTTAAATTCTGACGATGCATACTTTAAATCGAAGCCTCAGACCTTAAACCCTAAACTTTGCTATTATGAATTTAGTCAGCATGAGTTACTGGAATCTTAGGTATTGTGAGCTTAAATTGTTAGGCTTAGCGTGCGAGCGTGACTACAAGGAAGTAACATTTTTTGTTGCTGGAGAGCTGACATCGCTGTCGGTGAAGACTGGCATCCTTGAGCCTCAAGGAAGCCACACCACCACACCACCGCGCCACCACACCACCACACCACCGCGCCACCACACCACGACATCACCGCACCATCACACCCCCATACCACCACCCCACCGCGCCACCACACCACGACACCACAACACCACCGCACCACCACCCCACCGCGCCACCGCACCACGACATCACCACACCATCACACCCGCATACCACCACCGCATCACACCACGACACCACCACACCACCGCACCACCGCACCACCACACCACCACACCACCACCCCACCACGCTACCACACCACGACATCACCGCACCATCACACCCCCATACCACCACCCCACCGCGAAACCACACCACGACACCACCACACCACCGCACCACCACCACACCACCAACCCACCGCGCCACCACACCACCAGACCACCACATCACCACACCGCCACACCACACAACCACCCCACCACACCACCGCGCCACCACACCACCGCCATCGCGCCACCACACCACCACACCACCGCACCACGACACCACCACCACGACACCACCACACCAC